AGACCTGACCTCCAGTCTTTGGAGGGAACAGAACCTTTTGGCCCCCGAGCAATTGATGTTTTTCAGCGGAGGCTAAATCCAAGATCCCAAAGTGACCGTGCCACCCAGATGCCACTGGATTGTTTTGCAACTGGGATCAACGTCTCTGTTGGGATTTGAGGGAAACCCCATCGATAAAATATATTATTTCTCTCTCAAGCGCGAAATCCATTGGCAGATGCAGGAGAAAGCCAGGGGAGGATCAGCGTGTCACCTTTATGGCTGATGAACTGATTGGAAGGTAGATCTGAATACACTCTGCAGCTAGGGACAGAGAGGGAAAGAGCACCAGAGAGGACAGAGAGAGGGTGCGGGGAGTGACGGAGCCCCGTCAGCTCCTGCTGAGCTCACAAGCAGCCTCCTCTGGGAGTGCACAAGGGACTGCGAGAGGGAGAAGGGTGCTCTAGTCCTGGGACCTTCCAGTGTCACCTGGAAGTGTCTGGTCCAACTCTCAGAAGTGCTGCTGCAAACTTGGGGCAGGGGGGGTCCCTCTGAGTTCTAACACATCCTCTGGGGTTAGCTAGTCATTAGGTCTGGTGGAAGTTGCCCCCCCATGGCTGAAACTTCTCTGTGACTCCTGTTGCCCTTAGATTCCCAAATGGATCCTTTGCCAAGGCCTGCACCTGTCCAAGGGCATCTCACCAATGCTCCCACTTCTGTCCCTCTCATATGCCACCCCTTTCCAGGACTCCTATACAAAGCCCCAGGACCTTTGCACTTGCTCCCCTGTTGATGGAAGGGCTCTTCCTCAGACTTCTGGCTCCTTGTCCTATAAGTCTAAACCCAAACATCGTCCCACAGAGAGCCTCTGCCTGCCCATCCCGAGTGCCCTCCAGTCTTCCTCTCATTGATTTTCTTCAGAGTGCTTGAAGAAAGACCAAAAATTGATCTGATGTGTTTATTCATTGACTTCTTTGTTGTCTCTCCTCCCCTCCCTGGAATGCGGGGATCAGGGACCTTGCTGTATCCCTAGCACCAGAGCAGTTGCTGGTTTGTTGCTGGCATAAAATTTACATAAATATTTATTGAATGCATACATCAATTCATGACTGCGTGAACACAGGAGAGAAGGATTAGACTGGAGGGATTTGATCATCAAGGTGACGGTGGGCCCAGAGGCTCTCCCTCCTTTTCCAAAAGACAGGGTCCCCGAGCCCAGCTGAGTAGACCTGGAAAGCCAACCCTGCTCCGGATTCCTTGCCTGATTTCCCTCTTCCCCATGACTCTCAGGACCTTGTGGTCATTAGGGGCTGGCGACTCCCACCCTCCCCTCCTCTTCTCTATAAAGAACGATTATGGACTTGATTTCCAGCAGGGGGCGCTACACATGGTCATCAGAATTCTGACTTAGTCCCCCACATTCCCATAGTTCATCACACAGGAAACCAGAGAGCAGTGGCCCCAGGACTCTTTCTAGAGAGGAGTGGTGCCGCCCCAGCTGCTGCCCACCAAGGGCCCACAGTTCCCGTGGAAAACAAGACAGCCCGCGGGAACCACTGCATAGTGACAGGGTCTGGTTAGCACTGTGGTGTTGGGGGGACCTTCAAAGAAGGGAAACTAAAGAGGTCGGGTAGAGACTAGAGGGAGAATGGAGGAAACTGTGTAACAAGTTGCCACAAACCTAGTGGGCTAAATGTGAGGGGGAAAGGTACAGTCATACATGCTGGTGGGACTGCAGATTGGTGCAACCACTCTGGAAAGGATTACAGAGATACCTCAGAAACCGTGGAATGGAGTCACCATTTGACCCAGCTATCCCACTCCTCGGTCTATACCCAAAATCAGCTTACTACAGTGACACAGTCACATCAATGCTTATAGCAGCTCACTTCACAATCGCCAAACTATGGAATCAACTTAGATGCCCTTCAACAGGTGAATTATATACATAATGAAATATTACTCAGCCTTAAAGTTGAAGAAATTATGGCATGTGCAGGCAAATGGATAGAGCTGGAGAATCTCATGCTAAGCAAAATAATTCAATCCCCAAAAGGCAAAGGCTGAATGTTTTCTCTGACAGGCGAATGCTAATTCACAATAGGAGGGGCGGGGTGGCTAGGGGAAAATAGAGGAACTTTGGATTAGGCAGAGGGCAGTGAGGGGACAGGAGGGCGTATGGGATTAGGGAGGATAATAGAATGAATTAGACATTATTACCCTGTGGACATACATGACTACACAACCAGTGTGATTCTACATCATGTACAACCAGAAGAATGAGAAGTTATACTCCATTTATGTATGATRTATCAAAATGCATTCTACTGTCATGTRTAACTTATTAGAATTTTAAAAAGTATCTGTTTATATTGTTTAAACATTTACATGTGTAAACATATACAGCTTCTGCAGGTCAGAGGTCCAGTAACAGCTGGATTCAGCTGCAAACAAGGTGTCCACTAGGACTGGGTTCTCAGCTGGAGGCTCAACTGGGGCAGGATCCATGCCCCATTTGTGTGGTTGCTGCAGCATCTAGATCCTGGCAGTTGCAGGGCTGAGTGCTTCTTCCTTTTTTTTCTTTTTCTTTTTTTTTTTTTTTTTTTTTTCTGGATGTAGACCTGAGGCTGCCTTTGGCTGCTAGAGATTCGTCCCTGCAATTTCTTGCTATGTGGGTTTCCTAAAGTCAGCTGCTTATTTCACTGAACCGCAAGGAGAATCTCTGGGCAGACTGGCTAGTGAGATGGGGTGTTACATACCATTACATAACCAGGGAAGTGACATCCCTCTCCTTTGCCAGGCTCTATTGATTAAAAGTTAGGTGACAAGTTCTGCCCACATTTAATGGGAAGGGGTCAAACAATGGTGTAGACACCAGATGGGGAAATCATGGAACTGCCACCCTAGAGGGGTGTCAACCATAGTGCCTATCAGGTGTTTGGGACTGTGCCAAATACGTTTACATATTCACCAAAATGGCCTGCAAGGCAGGTGTCATCCCATTCCACAGATGAGAAGCTAAAGTCTCAGAGCAATGCACATTGGCCCAAGGTCCTGCCAGTGTGAAGACCGGAACAAACATCAAGTGAACTTGGGCCCAGTTGAGACCAAAGGCTCAGCATCTTTGTAGTGGGGAGCAGAGGCTTGAGAGAGGAAGGGCAGGGAGTAGCTAGAGGAGGGCTAGAGTGCCCCAGGAGACCTGAGACCACAGGAAACGAAGGGGGTAAAGTGCATTTTGAGAAAGAAAACAAAGCACTTAAGTCTGATGATCTCTATTTTCTCAATGAAGCAGAAAATGAGGTGTCTCCTGAGAGGGTGGAGGATGGGCTGGAGGGGAAGCAGAACTGAGTTGGCACAGCAGTTGGGGGGGTGATGGGGAGCAAGAGCTTTGCCAGCCCAGGACACATTGCCAAGAGAGTAGGCTGCTTCTGCCATGGAGACTTCAGAGTGGGGTCAGGAGTGGTCCCCACTCCCTCCCAGCATTCACTCTCCTCATTGTGCCTTGGAGTGCTGTGATTCAGGCCAAGTCCATCTCTGTCACTGGAAGGAAAGTTCTCGAAGGACAGGGACCTAACAGCTGTCCACATGGCGCCTCCCCATGCCCAACACGGGACCCGGCACTTRAGAAGCCTCCCTAACCAGCCTGATTCCAGACAATAAATTTCTAAATCGTTCTTGTTTTACCTCTCATCCCTAATGGCTCACGCAATTCTAAAAGACATTTTGAAACTATGTATTTTTAMTTTTATTTTGGAAGTCAATGTTCAAACGGTGCCGTGGAGTAGAAAGTGGGGTTAGGCATGGCATCGGGGAAGTGTGCCACATACCTAAYTCGGGGACAGAAAATCAGCTCAGCATCTGAGACCGGCCTTTGTGATATCAGGAAGTCAAAAGAACCATTTCACAATATTCTGTTKCAATCTACTTTGATTGGAATGAAACGTTACCCACAGTGTATTGTGGCCTGGGGGGGGAAAAAAATCCAGTTACTCTTCAGACACTTGTAGTACCATCCTGCTCCCGTCAAATTACCGACAAGAAGCAGAAAACCTAACTCACGCCATCCTAGGTTCAAAAGAGAGAAACATTCAGTTGCATCTTAAGGGTCATGTCCAGGAGGATCGATGCCCAGAGGCTCCACTATTTTGGCCTTGGTCTTAGGCTATTGGGTGGCAATTTGCTGGCAGCTGGCAGCATCTCTGGGAGCGCCACCCTTCCCAGGACTCCTACACAAAGCCCTAGATCTGCTCTAATCTGGTCAGCTTGGGTCATATGCCCATGAGTCAGTGTGGCCAGAGTGATTCAGTCCTCTCATCAAGCCTTGGTCCCAGAAGGGAGTCACAGAAGGGAGTTGGGGTGCTGTGTGTGATGGAGAGGAGGAGTGGGCGCCAGGGGATTATATATTCAACATGCTCCGGGTCTGGGAGCTGTAGTCAGGGACCTCATTTTATTTGCCCAATCAGCCTCTCTTGCGTTGGTGGTATAGTGGTGAGCATAGCTGCCTTCCAATCAGCCTCTCTTCTCATCCTAACTAGGGACACCCCTGGGGTTTCATCCTGGCCCACTAAGGGAAGCTAAGTCTTGTTGGAGACTTGGTATCCAGAAGAACTGGGGGAACCCTGGGTCTGAAGTCCAGATGCCTAACCTTTGCTGGACTTGGTGCCACCATGGGGTGCACTCCTGTTGACAGTCTTGTCATGTTTCTCTGATGGGACCTGGAGTGGAACCATGAGCTGTGCTCCAGCCTGTCACCCCCACCACCAGAGCTGGGTCTTGTAGTCTTCCCACACCTGACCCCGACCCAGTGAGAACCTGGGGCTCCTGCTTCGTGACTCTGACCTTCACATCTCTGCTCCACGCCATTGACACATTGCTGCCACCTGTTCTCCAAGCCACTGCCCACCCCCCACCCCCCAGTCCCAACCTCTCTCCAAAGCCACTCAATTCCCCAACACAAGAGGGAACAGCTATTCAAACACCACTCATGAGACCAGGGCCAGGAAGTAGAGTTCAATGGCACTTTATTTTTTTGGACTGGATGTATCCGTTTTTCCCAACTCAGGTTTGCCTTTCTGCTGGTTCTTAGCCAGGATTTTCTTCCGACAGACTTCAAGGTTTTGCTTCCGATAGACTTCAAGCTCCTCAAAGTACTTCACTCTCAAGAGAGCTGCTTTCTGTTCATATGGCTGCTTTCCCATCTCTGTCGCTGTAGACCACATCTTCCCACTGGCCTTTGCTACCTGCACCACTGACCAGGTGGGGTTCTCCTTCATCAGCTGGGAATAGTGATCTTGGCAGAAGAGCAGGAAGGATGATGGAGGCCTTCTGGGGGCCAGGGGGTCCCGTTTTCTACGTTTTTTCTTCTTGCCAACGAAGTGCAACATTTCTTCCTGATAGCGGGCTTTGTCGAGCTTGGCCAGGGCTTCATATTTGGCCTTTTCATGCTTTGAGATGGATCTCCATTTTTCTGAACACTTTTTAGAGAACTCTTTAAAACCAAGGTAGGTATTTGGCTGCTGTTCCTTGAATTTGTTTCTGTAATTCAACAAAAAGTGGATGTAGGAAGAGACGTTCACCTTGGGCTTCAGCTGGACTTCTTTTCCCATGTTCACAAGATCATGCTTTTTTCTGGTTTCAGTACCTTGGACAGCAGAGACTTTTGCGGGCACATCCAGGAGCAATCTACAAGGTGCTCCGCTTGTGGTGATTTTTTTCTCTCTGGGAAGAGCTGCAGTCCCAGGTGGGCCTTTTCAGTGGTGGTCCTGTTGTTGGGTCAGAGGAAGAGAATTGTGACGTCACTCGCAAGCGGGCCAATCCTGGCCCGCACTTGCGTGCATTTGCATACAGGGGCTCTGATTGGTTGGTTCCACAAGGGTCATTTTTCATCTCTCCAGAGCGATTGATGGTTTATCCAAAGCAAGCGATGGAGCTGCGGATTCCTCTGGGAACAATCCTCCTTGGCTTCCTGGAGGCAGAGGGTTTTTCCTCTGCTTTGAGGGYTTTAAATCTCTTGGGTGTAGTGACCAGGGTCTGCCTCCCTCGCTGTAAGAGTGTCAGGATGCCGCATCATCCCTTCCAAAGACGGGCTGGAAATAATGAACAGGAGGGGGTGGACGGCCCCCGAGCTGTCATGATAAAATGTGAAGTCTTTCTGTTTGCCTTGAACAGTGGCAGCTCCTGCTGTACAAAGGGTTTAGTAGTAACTCTAAAAATAATCGGCTATGACAGGTGTGACTCTGTTCCTGTCAGGACAAAGTTGTCTAATTTAAAACCTGAGCACTCCGGCTATGAGTCTGAACTCTTCATTTCTCTGAAGAAATTTGAGGGGAAAGAGGGAGGAGAAACTTGTGGTTTTATTAATTACCCTCAAGTCCATGAGAATGCAGCAGCATTCTTGACACCTCGGAAGCCTCCCCACGCTCCCAGGCAGGGTCCCCCCCCCCCAACCTCTCGTTCCTTATCATTAGAGCACAAAGCTCTAACCGCCACAAACTAGTTGGCTTCTGTCTTTTTAAAGAATATTTCAGGAAGCTTCCAGTTGGAAGAAAAAGACAAGAAAAGTGTTGTTTGCTGACCTTCAGACCCTGCTCTGTACTTGCTTACGTGGAATTGGATTTAATACAACTCTGTGGTTGGTGATAGTGTCATATTTATAGGATGAGAAAACTGAGTTTCATTGACATGAGAAATAACAAGTTCAAGGTCAAGACAGCTATTAACAGCTGGGAGTGTGGATTTTGACTGGCACTGTCTATCAAGCCTATGCTTCATCCTGCCTGCACAGAGCTGTATCCTGGGGGTCCAGGGTCCAGATGTGTGGTCTCCGCTGCCGAACCTGACAAGGAAACTTGCCTACAACCACATTACAATTTGCATTTTTGCCAAATCCATTCTTAGGACTCTATGATTAATTTCAATTTTTTTGGCCTCCATTTGAAAAAAAAAAAAAAGATAGAAAATGATTGGAGTCCCCAGTCCTGATTGGARTCCCCAGTTCTGCTGCAGGTGGTCATGCTGCCTAAGCCATGCCCTTCCTCCCTGTGAGCCCAGGTTTCTCATAAACTAAGCTTTTGAACTCACCAGGGAAGCCCCTCCAGGTGACATGCTACAGTTTTGTCATCTCAGACGCCAGTGGAGGAAATCTGCATGTGTGTATGTGTGTGTTGGCATCAGGGGTAGAGAGTGGGGATCTGGCCAATAAAGCAGATTTTTCTGGGGATATTTACCAGCATGGTTAGCTTTTTTCACTCTTCTTCTTTCTCCCAAGGGGCCAGAGACCGGCTCACCTGTTTGTTGGGCTTGAGCTGGCTGCAGAGATAAATGGGATTCTTCCTGAAATCCAAAGATGGGATGTGAGGAAGAACTTTAGCTAAAGTCGACACAGATTAATCAGACTGCTTAGGCATGTATACACATATGCACATGCAGGCATGCACGCGCGCACGCACACACACACACACACACACACACCACAGAACAGTTTGTCTATGCTTCTGTGTGTAACTTCCTACCCCTCTCGTGAGGATACAATCCAGGAAGACTAAGCCCATGATAACCATCTGGAGGCTGACAGATCCAGGAGGAGGCAGTGAGAGTGCAAAGCTATGGCAACCTGTTAGGCCAAACAACCAACTTGCAAGGGAGATGCGGATGTGCCTCTGTCAGGAGGCTGGGGAATCTGATCCCTAGCTTTTTAAGTCAGTGCCAGGGACACGTGTYAGTCTGCCCTTTCATACTCCCTTTCTACCCTTCTCTATTTGGCTCCATCCTGGGAAGCTGACTCACAGGGGCCATACGAAGAYTCCATGCCCTGTGGCCTCCTTTGCAGTTTGGCCTATGGGGACCCCATTACATCAGGGATGGAGGAAGGTGAAGTTGGGGTATTCGTGCTGCTGACTCCCTTCCCACAGAGTCACCTGGAGCTGGATGCCTCCCCCAACTACAGGTCTTTGCTCCTCCTGAGGTGTCCCCTCGAAATGACTCTCCTTTCAGGTTCAGGAATTGCTCCCTTCTCCTGTCCCCTCCTGCCTAGGCTGATCACAGCTAGGCTTCTACTGGCCCTTGAGGACTCTGCCACTTTCATATATCCAGTGACTTTCCTGCACCTAGCCCTCACCCTGTAGATCGTCACTTTATTAAACACTCCTGGAATTATTCTAATTTGAGTYGCCATCTGTTTCCTGCTGACCAAAAGTGCCATGTCACTTGGCTGCCACTGTGCAGGCGTCAGTCCAAACCAGAAGGGTATTGAGCCTCTGGAGACCCAAGTGCCCAAAGTCACACAGCCTCGAGTGGCCTGCAGAGGCGGTGCCTGCCACTGTGGGAGAGCGACAAGATACCTGKCCTGGGAAGAGTCGTCTGAAGCCTCTGCATTATGAGATGACCCCCAGGCAGGCACAGTGATCTAGAGGGGCAGACAATAAATACATTAAGTTTTATGAGCTCTAGAGTTTCTGTTGCAAGTACTCAATCTGCCATGGTGGCTCAAAAGCCACCATAGACAATACAAATGACTGTGACTATGTGCCAATAAAACTAT